AAAATGCAATAAGGCGCAAAGTACATCAATTCTTCTTTAGAAATTAACTTCCAACAATTGATAAGGTTTTATAAGAAGTCAACGATGATCCATATTTGTCTACTTTTAAGCGAGCTACATTTTACAAGCTTTTCAAAACCCTTAATTTAAAACTCGAGGAAAAAATAGTTTGTTTTTAGACAAAAATGAAATTGTTTCATTCTACGCCACAAAAAATAAAACGGTACAGAGAAGAAAAGCAATATATTATCTTGATGAGACTTGGATTAACGCAGGCCACACCAAATCAAAAGTATGTTTCGATATGTCGGTTTTTTCATCCAGACAAGCTTTTTTGGATGAACTTTTAACTGGTTTTAAAAACCCATCAGGTATGTGCGTAAAAACAGCTCATTATGCCATATTGGAAGTGAAGAAGGCTTTGTCTCTAATGCACTTTATGTATTTGAGTTGAAAAATCCGGTGACTACCATGAAGAAATGTATGGAGAATCGTTCAAAGAGTGGTTTTCAAACACCCTACCAAAATTAGAAGATAACTGCATTATAATTCGAGAAAGCTGGAAAAAATATCTACGACGTCTAAAAAAGGTGATATTTAAAAATGGCTATAAGGGAAAAAAATTGAATTCGACTACCAAATGCTTAAGATCCAACTTCTAAAACTTGGTAAGCAACATAAACATTATGATAGGTATGTAATAGATGAAATGGCTAAGCAGCAAAACAACATAATACTTCACATGTCTCCGTATCATTGTGAACTTAACCATATTGAATTAATCTAGATTGACGTTAAACAATACGTAGCAGATAAAAACTAAACATTTAAATCTGGAGACATTAAAATTCTTTTTGAAGAAGTAATATTATTAATTTCTCCAGAAAAATGGAAAAAGTGTATGTACCATGTTCGCCAAAAAGTTGAAGTAAAAATGTGGGAGTTGGATAATATTATAGAGGTTCCGGTAGAATCACTTGTAATTTTGATTAATGAAGATAGCCTTTCAAGTCTAACTAATTAAAAGAATAGTGCTAAGTCAACTAAGGAAGATTGCTATAATACAGGGTACAAGTTGTCTAATCTAAATACTAGTAGAACAAGAACAATAAAGAACAAAAGTTATCAAAAATACAAAAGGTTTCTTTTTAAGATGCACAATTTTAAATCAAATACCAATACCTCTTATATTTAAAGTTTTTTTAATGCTTTTAGTAGATATATATTAGCTATTAAAGAATTTGCAATTATTTGGACACCCTGTACAATATAATTTTATAATATGATTGTTTTAATGCTCTGTATCACAGAAGACATATGTAATGAACTAAATATAATGCAACCATCTCTTTTAAAGTCAAATACATTTATTAATTTGTATTGCAGGTTAACGCAGTTTATGTCGCTCACCTATCTTCGTCCAGAAATGTCACTAAAGTCTGGGAGACCGTGTATGGCATTTATTTTATAGTTTTACTTTACAAAATATGTTTTTATCGTAATAAAAAAATAATTTCACAATTATACTCTTTTATTTTACATTTTTGCAAGACGGGAAAGTAAAATACGGCCCTGCTCAATTTTAGCGTCCACCTGCTTCTGTTTACATCAGGCGTAAATTAAATTTGAATAGACTTTAGCTTGCTTTTAAAATAAAATAATTATAGTAAAAAATAACCTTTTTTTAAATGTGTATTTAATTTCGGTTTGTGTTAAGTGTAGTTAATTATTATCTAGGGGTAGGCAAAACAATCGATTCATCGAGTATTAATCGATGTTTTAATCGATAATAGATTAATCGGCTTTGTTATGAATCGATAATAATCGATAAATCGAAAATAATCAAATTAGTAAAAATAATCCATTATTCGAAATTGATCAAAAATTATCGATTATTTATTTTTATAATTACTGCCCTTCACCCATTTACACCTTGTTTTAAATATTAACACACTGTTCTAGTTAATACTTTTTGGTTTTATTTGTATTTTTAATTTTCGATGATCGATTACATTCGATTATTTTTGATTAATCGATTATTTTTTAATAATCGATTATTTTTTAATAATCGATTATTTTCGATTAATGGAATATTTTCGGTCAATCGATTATTTTATAGATTATTTTCAATTAATCCAATATTTTCGATCATTCGATTAATGTGATTGGGTGTTTCGCTCATAAATTGCTTCTCAAAAAAACCATATTTTAACATAATTTTCAAAAAAGTTGTTGCATGCAGCACATTTGTTATTATATTGAACGAAAATATATTTGTGTATTAGCTTTAGTCGATTATTCGATTAAACGATCATTAGATTTTTAATTAATCGATTAATCGAAATCAAATAAGAAAATTATCTTTGAAAAATCTAAATAATCGATTAATCGAAAATAATTGATTAATATAAAATAATCGATTAATAGAAAATAATATACTAATCGAAAGTAATCGATTAATCGAAAATATTCGATTATCATACAATCAATTAGTCGAAAGCAAACATGGATTAATCAATTTTTTTAATGGATAATTGATTAATCGAAAATAATCGATTAATCGAACATAATCGATTATTGGAAAAGAATTGATTAATTAAAATAATTGTCTAATGGAAAATAATCGATTATTTAATTAATCGATTATCGTTTTGAAATTAATTTACTGATCAATTATATTATTAGTTGATTAATCGATTATTTTACCCTTTTCTACTTATCATACTTCAGTTTTTAATGCATTTTTTCTGTGGTTCAGTTTCCATATTAACTTGGCCTTGATTATCTTTATTGGGAGGTTCTAGGCGCCTTCTGCCCAGCGAGTCTTCACTAGGGGTGGGCAAAATGATCGATTATTATTTTCGATTAAACGGTTATTTTCGATTAATCAATTATTTTTGATTAATCGATCATTTTCGATCAATCGATAATTTTCGATTAATCGATAATTTTCGATTAATCCATTATCTATTTTACCAACCTTTTTTAAAATGTTTTTAATTTGGGGTTGTATTAATGGTTAATTAATTTTTATAGAAGTAAAACAATTTATTATTCGAGTATTAATTGATTATTCTTTTTTTTAATGAAAAATCAGTTATCTGGTTTCTTTTAAACCAAAATAATCGATTATTCTAAAATAATCGAAAAATACAAAATAATAGATTAATTTGAAAATAATTTATTAATCGAAAATAATCAACGAATCGAAAATAATCGATTAATCGAAAATATTCGATTATTTTAAATAACCGATTATTTTTTGTTAATCGTCCGGTATTAACTAATAATTCGTTTTTTATGAAGAATCGATTATCGGGGTCTTTTAAACGAAAATAATCGATTATCAAATGATACAAAATCATTGATTAATCGAAAATAATCTAGTGATAAAAAAATCTAAATTAATCCATTATTCGAAAATAAGTAATCGTTTATTTATAATAATCTATTTTTGATTAATCGAAAATAATCGGTTAATCGATAATAATCGGTTAATCGATAATAATCGATTAATCAAAAATAATCGATAATTCGAAAATAATCGTATAATCGAAAATAATCGACGAATCAAAAATAATCGATTATCGGGTTTATTTTATACAAAAATAATCGTTTAATCGAAAAATAAAAATAAATGATTAATTAAAAATAATTTATTAATCGAAAATAATCGATTAATCGAAAATAATCGATTATTTTAAATAACCGATTATTTATTTTGACAATTGTCCAGTAAAAACTGATTATTCGTTTTTTTATGAAAAATCGATTATCGGGGTCTTTTAAACGAAAATAATCGATTATCAAATGATACAAAATCATTGATTAATCGAAAATATTCTAGTGATAAAAAAATCTAAATTAATCCATTATTCGAAAATAAGTAATCGTTTATTTATAATAATCTATTTTTGATTAATCGAAAATAATCGGTTAATCGATAATAATCGATTAATCGAAAATAATTGATTACTTAATTTGATAATCGCCTAGCCTTAGTCTAAGTGTAATTTTTCTCATTGTGAGTAAATCAAAATCAAAGTTTGAAAAATTATTTTTATAAGAAATGGTATTTTTTTGTATTCTAAAATCTTATTCAGGTTTTTGACTTTCAATATCAGTTATAAAGTAAACAATTGTTTATATTCAAATATAAAATACACAAAAAAATGTAATATACATATCACAAAATTCATTTGAATACGGTTCTGTATAGACAAGATAATCGCACTCTGAGTGAACACGAGCCACTTCTTTGTACAATTTTTTCTTCGTCAATTATCGATTAGAAATACTATACAATTATAAAGTCCATGTCGCTTAAGACTCCAATATTAATTCAATTCATTTTTCAAACACTACAATAGTCAAAACGTTTTTAGACAGATGTTGTGTCTACATGTTCTTAGAAAAAAATGGTTCAACTTGCCGAGGCTTTACTTTTATCTAACAAGTTTTTAATAAAAATTGGTGAACCCAAAAAAGAAATAAAATGTATAAGTTTTAGATCAGGGTTGGGAAATTAATTTATTTTAAATAAAGAAATCGATGATTTATTTAAAAAAATATTTATTTTAAATTTTCTTTTAATTGTAATTGAGAAATTTTAACATTTTGCTTAATTTAATTATAATGATAGTAAGAGAAAACCTGAAAGCTAACAACCACACCTTTTGTTGTATTTCTAGTGGTATATAAAAAGTAGAGACTAGTATTTTTGTTTAAATTATTTAAAGAAAATGTACATACTTAAATTTTACATATGTTTCAATTCATGCTAATTTTAAAAATATTTATGTTATATTTCTTTCAATTTTTTTTTATTTTACTTATAAAAATAGCTAAAAATAAACATGATTTCAATCAGCCCAACCCTGCCTCCGATTACGTATTCACGGTAAAAAAATAAGAGGTTAAATACCTAAATAATTTACGATTTAGAAAACATTAAATTAATAACTTAAAAACCATTTAAAGAAAATAAAAAAAAAACATACCTTTCTATCTCTAAATCCGACTTTCTCACGTCTATGTTTTTTCTTCTTCGACTCTTCTTCGGTGCTTTCTTCGAGATCTTCTCTTTGTATTTCAATTCCTTCTCTAATATCACTTTCAGCTTTCACAGACATAACTTTACGTACCCTTTAAAAAAATCAATTATTAGGAATATTGATACATTTGTTCAGAAAATAATCGATTAAATAGTTTTAGAAAAATCGATAATCGGTTAATCGAAAATAATAGAATAAACGAAGATAATCGATTAAACGAAAATAATCGATTAATCAATAATAATCGAGTTGTGGAAAATAATAACTAAACAAAAATAATCGATTATTTTAAATTATATGTATTGGATTAGATTTTCAATAATAATCGATAAATCAATAACGATCGAATAAAATATTAAAAAAAAACAAGTAAATAATACAGATATATCGATTTTTTGGATAATTTATTATTTGAAAATTACTGACTAATCAAAAATAATCGAAAATAATTAATTAATCAAAGACAATCGATTAAGCGAAAATAATCGATTAAGTAAAAATAATCGTAAATAACCGATTAATCGAAAATAATCAGTTACAAAAAATAATCGAATAATTCGATTAATCGATAATAATCGATTTTCTGAATAATTGATTATTAGAAAAATTGATTATTAGAAAATTTGATTAATAGAAAATAATCGATTTCTCGATTAATATAAAACAATCGATTATTCAAAAATATTCGATCCCGAAATAATGAGTTTAATGATTAATCGAAAATAATCGATTTTCTGAATAATAATTTAAAAATAACTGAAAATAACTCATGATTATTCGAAAATAATCGATTACGCGATTAATTCATTATTCTATTAATCGAAAATATTCACTCAATTGAAAATATTCGATCCGTAAATAACCAATTTAACGATTAATAAAAAATAATCGATTATCTGAATAAATAATTAATTGAAAATTAAGAAATAATCAATTGAGCGAAACTAATCGATTACTCAAAAATAACCGATTACTAGAAAATAATCGATTACTCGAAAATAAGCGATTACTCGAAAATAATCGATTACTCGAAAATAATCGATTAATCGAAAATAATCGATTACTCGAAAATAATCGATTTCTCGAAAATATTCATTTACTCGAAAATAATCATTATTTAATTGAACATTCAATTAATCGAAAATATTCGATTTGAAAAAATCAATTCAAGGAATAATCGAAAATAATCAATTGAAGAAAATAATCGATTACACAAAAATTATCGATTACTCGAAAATAATCGATTACTCGAAAATAATCGATGACTCGAAAATATTTATTTACTCAAAAATAATCATCGTTTAACTGAATCTTCAATTAATCCAAAATATTCGATTTAGAAAAATCAGTTCAAGGATTAATCGCAAATAATCGATTTTTTTAAATTGATTATTTAAAAATAACTGATTGATAAAAATAATGTCTCCCGATTAATCGAAAACAATCGATTACATACGCGATTATTTGAATATTCGATTATTCGAAAATAATTGATTATTTTAAATAATCTATTATTTATTTTGATAATCGATAATTCCTTATTACAAAACATCGTTTAAGTATCTTATTAATATGTAATTAAATTAAATATTTATTAATAATATATAAATTAATAACAATCGAATATAAGATTAATAATCAATAAAATAATACCAATATATCGATATTTCTAATAATCCAAAATCCAATTATTCGAAATCAATTTAATGATTAATCTAAACCAATTTAACTATCACTTGAAATCAATTTAACGATTAATCTAAAATAATAGATCTCTCGATTAATCTAAAACAATCGATTAAGCGAAACTATTCGATTAATCGAAAATATGTGATCTGGAAATAATTAATAATTTAAGGATTAATCGAAAATAATCAATTTTCTAAATAAATGATTATTTGAAAATACATGATTAATACAAAATAATCGATCTCTCGATTAATCGAAAGCAATCGATTAAGCTAAATTTATCGATTACTCTAAAATAATCGATTACTGAAAAATATTCGATGCGAAAATAATCAGTTTAACGATTAATCGAAAATAATCGATTTTCTGAATAATTGATTTTTTAAAAATAACAATCGATTACGCGATTAATTGATTATTCAATAAATCGAAAATATTTAATTAAATACTCAATTAATCGAAAAGATTCAATCAATTGAAAATATTCGATCCGTAAATAACCAATTTAACGATTAATTAAAAATAATCGATTTTCTGAATAATTTATTAATGGAAAATAATCGATTAATCGAAAATAAACAATTGAGCAAAACTAATCGATTGCTCAAAAATGACCGATTACTCGAAAATAATCGATTGCGCGAAAATAATCGATTACTCGAAAATAACCGATTACTCTAAAATAATCGATTACTCGGAAATATTCATTTACTCGAAAATAATCATCGTTAATTTGAATATTCAATTAATCGAAAATAATAGATTTTATTAAATAATTATTCAAAAATAACTAATTGATGGAAAATAATTTCTCTCAATTAATCAAAATACACGATTGCGCGATTAATTGATTATTCGAAAATATTCGATTATTTATTTTGATAATCGATAATTCCATATTATAAAACATCGTTTAAGAACCTTATTAATAGGTAATTGAATTAAATATTTATTAATAATCGATAAATTAATAACAATCGGATATAAAATTAAAAATCAATAAAAAATACCAATATCTTAATTTTTCTAATAATCCATAACTCGATTATTCGAAATCAATTCAACGATTAATCGAAATCAATTTAACTATTAATCGAAATCAATTTAACGATTAATCAAAAATAATCGATATCTCGATTAATCTAAAACAATCGAATAAACGAAACTAATCGATTAATTGAATATTCGATTAATCGAAAATATGTGATCTGGAAATAACTAATTTAAGGATTAATCGAAAAAAATTGATTTTCTGAATAGATTATTTGAAAATACTCGAATAATCGTTCTTTCGATTAATCAAAAGCAATCGATTAAGCTAAACCTATCGACTACTCTAAAATAATCGATTACCTACTGAAAAGTATTCGATCCGAAAATAATCAATTTAACGATTAATAGAAAATAATCGATTTTCTGAATAATTGATTATTTAAAAATGACAAAATAATCGAATACGCGATTAATTCATTATTCTATTAATCGAAAAAATTTAATTAAAAATTCAATTAATCGAAAATATTCAATGAATTGAAAATATTCGATCCGTAAATAACCAATTTAACGATTAATAAAAAATAATCGATTATCTGAATAATTCATTAATTAAAAATAATCAATTAATCGAAAATAATCGATTGAGCGAAACTAATCGATTACTCGAAAATAATCGAGTACTCAAAAATAACCGATTACTAGAAAATAATCGATTACTAGAAAATAATCGATTACTCGAAAATATTCATTTACTCCAAAATAATCATCGTTTAATTGAATATTCAATTAATCGAAAATATTCGATTCGAAAAAAGCAATTTAAGGATTAATCTAAAATAATCGATTTTTGAATAATTGATTATTTAAAAATAACTAATGGAAAATAATCTCTCAATTAATCGAAAAAAATCGATTACGTGATTAATTGAATATTCGATTAATCGAAAATAATCGATTATTTTAAATAATCTATTATTTATTTTGATAATCGATAATGCCATATTAAAAAACAATCGTTTAATTACCTTATTAATATGGAATTAAATTAAATATTTTTTAATAATCGATAAATTAATAACAATCGAATATAAAATTAAAATAAAAAAAATATCAATATATCTATTTTTCTAATAATCGATAATCGACTATTCAAAATCAATTTAACGATTAATCGAAATCAATTTAACGATTAATAAAAAATAATCGATTTTCTGAATTATTTGATTGGTCGAAAATAATGGATTACTCGAAAATAATCGAAAAACTGAATCTTCGATATGAAAATAATCAATTTAACTATTAAAACGATTTTCTGAATAATTACTGGAAAATAATCGATATCCTGATTAATTAAAAAAAATCGATTAATTGAATATTCTATTAATCGACACTAAACGATTAATCAGGCCTAATGATCGGGTGCTGTCTTGTAAAAACTCGAATCAAAAATATAAAATGATATATGAAGTTAAACAGAGGTTGCGATAGTCGAGTGTGGTTTACACTGGTCTACCACACTGCTTTTCTTAAAAGTAAAATTAAGTATAATTTGTTATATAAATTCAGCAATAATGAACTTTTCTATGTCAAAACTAGGGTTGGACGATTATTAATATAAATAATCGATTATTTTCAATAATCAATTATTTTCAATAATCAATTATTTTCAATAATCAATTATTTTCAATAATCAATTATTTTCAATAATCAATTATTTTCAATTAATTGATTAATCGAAAATAATCGATGAATCAAAAATAATCGATTAATCAAAAATAATCAAATAATCGAAAATAATCGACACATGAAAAGTCATCGATTAATCGACACATGAAAAGTAATCGATTATTCGAAAATAATCGACACATGAAAAATAATCTATTAATCGAAAATGATCGATTAATCCATTATTATTCGATTATTTTGCCCACCTCTAACCAAAACCATTCAAATAGATTTTTTTTATTACTTATACAGTGTGTTGGTATATTCGACCAATCACGCTCTACCCTTTTGTTAATTGATACATTTTGGTACAGGAACATACATCCTTACAGGGCTTAATTAACGAGATACAGGGTGTTTAAAGATTGTAATCAATATTTATTATAAATCAAAAAATGCATTTAAATATTTTTTGGTGATCAATATAAGAGAATAATATTTTGACATAAACTAACTTTGGAAAAATGTAATCAGTGGTGCGCTATCAAGGTTAGTCGCATCTTTTTCCTCCCATTTTTACGCCACTGAAACAAACATTTTTTATGCAAATAAAGATATTAGATATTTCTAAATTCTAATCTAGTAAGCGAGTATACAATTTTTGATAGTCCGTGTATTTGACAAGATCTTGGTAGATAAAATTAAAAAAAAATATTTAAAGACGTTTCTGATTTATAGCAA